GAACCCAATTTGAAGCACTATTAGACATTTATTTATGCGAATCCTCGCGCTGGCGAGCATACTGCCCCGCGCTGAGAACATAAAGAGCAGTGCTACACCCTTTTTCACTTGTGCCTTTCAGGTGAACCACAGCCACTGACCGACAAGAACAAAACCGACCCGGGGGACTTGGGCAAAAGCCTCGAGTATATATATCAATCCGTGAATCCAATCCGTGAATACCTAAGACCCCCGTGGGAACTACCGTCTTCCACAACCGACCCAAACTGCCAAATCAGACTTCGAATGGCTGATCCAGAAACTCCGGATTTGCTCATCTTTGGGCCACGTACTCTCGTTTGGAAACATCCAGCCACCTGCCGCCTGTCCTCATTCTTCGCCTATCGGTTCTTACCTAATCGAATTGCATGCAGTCCGATACTTGGAATCGTCCTGTGAGATCCGTAGCTGCCCGGCTCTTACAGATCTATTATTGCTCCTTTATCGCACTGAATTTTCAGAGCGTAACGAGAACCTGTGTTCTACCAGATGATGCCCCTAAACACTGAGGGTATAAATTGGGCCACCTTCCGGTCTCCTGCATTCTAACAGCCCGTTCGGTTGATCACGATGTCTCCCCTCCGTCGCCCTTTTGTTTGCTATGCCTTGTACTTCCTTCAAAAGGGTGTCAACTTTTCCGAGCAACATAGACCAGTCTTCTAAAACTTTTGTGCTCAGAGATAACGGGAGTTTTGATGAATTGTAAGGACACATCTGTGTTGCCCGATCCGGTTGTCCACATGATCGAGTCTTTACTTCGGGGCAGCCTCATACAATGCAGTCTCACTAACTCACCCCACCATCAATCTTAAGAGTGTTTTCTACATGCCGGTCTTCAGAGTTTGTGTGTGAGAGGGATTACGCCCCACTAGGCAAACAATTTTTCAATTCGCTGCTCTCTTTAGATGTCTCAGAATGTTTTTCAGTTTCAGGATCCTATACGAGCTGAACGTAGGAGGTGAAAATGAAACAGGGATGGCACAACTTCAAGACTATGAAATCTTCAAATATCAGAAATAGTTCAAGTCCCCGACCAAGTTAGAAATGAATGAAAAATAAACAAGGGGCAAGCGATGATCTCAATGATAATGAAAAAGATATTTTAAATAGTGGCTAGAATCATTCCTGGGTCGACAACTTGGCCTAGTAAACAAGCCATGAGGGTCATGACCTGGTGGCCGGTCAGTGACGTTTCACGATCCCGGAGCAAGGAAAAAGCCGAGATCATACCGATATTAAGATAGAGTATCAACCTTTGTTTCACAGAATACAGAGCGCTTGCGCAGGGCTTTTGGCCACAGGAGTTAACTATTTTTTACGGCTTTCATGGCCTTTTATTATGCTTGACAAATTAAATGGTGGTGTAATTTGGATGCACTTTGCTCCGGGTGTAGTTGTGTTAAAATGCCTTTTGTGTAAAGTTTTCAAGGATATTAGCCTATACCCTTGGCTGGGATGAAAGATTGGCCTCGCATTGACCGTGGCCAATCTGAGCGGGAGCAACAATGTACGGTTGTGCAGCGGTATGAATTGGCGTGAGTGTGGAGCAACAGGGCAAAACTGGGTATTCTCGATTGTACGAATTAGCCTTCACAGACAAGGATTAACTGAATATGCCGGTGTTCTTGACCGCACAGCATGAAAGGGTTATGGGATATGGTGGATCCTTAAGGAAGCTTACACCCTCGTGAATGCACTTGATGTGATCTTGTGCAGGTCATCCTGCGCAAATTGGTTGTTTCCCGCAATTTGGCTGGAAGCCACGCTCCACGGAAATAACTGTGCCTCTCCCGATATCTAAAATTACCTGCTACAAAACTATCGTAAGCGCTGTTTTGCCCGGTTGGTTCACTGCTAACGGACTATTCTTCCCAACTCACGGTTTCCAAGTTTGTTGATCAATGTTGTTTATTGCGTTTCAGTTGCGTCCAAAAAAGATGTGCGGCCGCCTGTGAGTCTGTACTTGGCTTTCATTTCTCTTAAAAACAATTCAAGAAGGAAGTAACGTAGTTCCCATATAGGATTTTCACAGTCAAATTGATCAGACAGATAAATCGATTGGTCAGTTTGCATCTCCTGTGTTGGGAGATATGCTCATGACTAGTAACTGGTGCAGAACTAACAGGAAACAGGAGTCAGAAACCAGATCAGCAGTTTCTGTGGAACTTTAATAATCCGCTTTTCGTCACTGCACACCTTCTATTCGGAGACAAAATTATGAACGGGCTACTTGTACATCAAAAGCACAAGGTGACCCTTGGTTTCAAGCGGATACTTCCAAGCAGATGGCGGCAGAACAAGGCATGTTTCTCCAGCGGTGACCGGGCTTGGGGTGTACCGATTCTGAGTCCAACCTTTGGGGCAACAACATTAACTGGTGGTACGAATGTCCAAGTAGACTTATTTGAGTGACGCATAAACCATCAATTTTAAAATTTGCAGAACATAAGGCTTTCTACTGGATGAGACACGATGAGTACAGTCACAATGTTTCGGCTGTGAACGTGAATGCAGCCGATAATCCGGATAGTGTGCAGCCAACATAGACTATCACCTGGTAGTTGTGTCGTCAAAAGCGCTGCCTGTCGACTCTTGGCAAAGCTCAAGGAAATAGTCGGATACGCCGCCAAAGCATGCTTAAAAGAGAACAAAAGTACTTAAGCCACCGGGAAAAGACGCGCGAAGTTTTATGGCGGTTTCACAAAACATGTCATCATAAACGCGCCTGCCAGTTAGGCAAACTGCCCAAATCACTGAATTCGGGTGCAATATAAACCCAATAAGAGATCTTCCGTGACCTCGGCTGGGGCGAAGTGACATTACACTTAACCTGTGCTGTAATGGCAAATGGATGACCCTAAGCGAACCTTGGCCTCGTGGCCAAGAGTCGGCCATCCAATTGTGGCCAACTTTATGCACGTATGACCGTTTTATTTGAGAGCCTCTTTGCTCATTTGGTTTGTTTTTTGTAGTCCAAGCAGACCATTTGTCTTGGACAAGTATCTACCGTCGAGGTCTGTAAAAATTCTGAATTTATATATTACATTATTAGTACAGTACGAAAACTCAGCTCCGCCTAATTTTCTGCCTTTCCGGAGGTGCTGGTACTACGCGTCACCCGAAGATAACGTTTGCCCATTGCAGTATTCGATAGTACATCTTTTTTTAAAAAGAATGTCAATCGTCGGGCCATTGTGAAGGAAACAGGAGCCCAAGATGCGGCAACAACTGTTGATGTGGAGGAAACGATTGCGATGCAGTGAGCTTTTAGTCCTGGTTCTTGTAGGTGACTTTATCTATTCAGCCGCAAATGTGGCGTTGCA